ACAGGATACCTCCATCCATAGCTTCAGGTCATCGGCGTAAATCAGGCAATTCAGCTGAAGCTCCGATGGGAGGTCATTGATGAATATCTTGAACAGTTCCGGATCAAGTACTGACCCTTGCGGAACACCGCTAATCATCAGCACAAGAGTGGAGTAGGCTTCACTCACCTTGACTTCCATGGTCCGGCCAATCATAAAACCAGCGATCCAAGAGATGGCATTCCCAGAGACACCGGTACCTCGGAGTTAAAGAAGGAGTCTTTCATTGGGTCCCTGTCAAACGCCTTGCTGAACTATACAAATACCACATCCAATCCTTTCCCAGCGTCTAACGACCTCGCCCAGTTTTCCCTAGCAACAAGCAGGTTCGGGGTACATGAGCGTGCCCGCCAAAAGCCATACTGGTGGCACAGGAGATGCTGTTGAGGTTCTCGAAGTGAAGCTGCAGGGCGCGCTTGAGAATCCTTTCCATTAACTTGCACCGTACGGACGTTAGGCGGATAGGTCGACAGTTTGCAGGATCTTGACGATCGCCTCCCTTGTATATTGGTTTAACGGTCCCCAATTTCCAAGCAACCGGGAGTCGTCCAGCTTCCAGATAGTGGCGAAATATCTGATAGACGGGAGCAGCAATGTTGTCCGCCACGGTCTTGAGGAACAGCGGGTGCAGTCCATCAGGGCCCGGTGAGGAGTACGGATCTACTTCGCCAAGGCCCTTGGCCACGTTAGCCACACTGATTTCTATGTGTTGCAATGAAGAGTGGTGGATTGGCGCGGTGTCATCGGGTAACGACGTCTCGATCGAGTAAACAGATGAATATTTCAGGGCTAGTAAACTGGCTTTCGTCCCATAGTCGTCAAGTAAACCGCCCTGCTCTGCAGAAAACAGGGCAGGGATGCCACTGCCAGCTTTGGTACTTATTTTCTAGTAAGAGTTGAGTGCCTTCGGTGTCGTCCTGGATTGCACAGCCAAACTGCGTTCATACTGATGCCGTTTCTGACTTTTTTTCAAGCTGCAGTCTTTTCGGCTCAAGTTGTACTCCAAATAGTCAAGCGCGCAATGAGTAAGCTTGAATCGGTCCAATAATTTACGTCTTTTGGACATTAAGCACCTCAATTCTCGGTCTATCCATAGAGGGCCTCTGGTAAACGTTCGCATTTTGCAAATACGAATGACCTGCTCAACAAGGAAATCAGCTTGTAGTACAAAAGCTTCCACTCCTCATCTGGGTCCGAGGATAGAGGGATATTCAAGTCCACACCGTTAGCGGCCGCTAGCAGGCGGATTGGATCGGTACGCCAGAAATTCCTGCGGAAACTATCTCGGTTGTGAAGGGTGAGGCGTCGAGTCCACAGGAATGAAACCATACAGTGATCACGGTTACCAATAAGCAGAAGTGTAGTAATGTCTGCCACATCTGATTGCGCCGGGGAAAGCACAAGATCAAGAATATGGGGGTTGGTCCGACACATATACGGGTAGGCACAGTAGCACGTTGAAAGGGGTTACACGCGAGAACGGTTTCCAAAAGTCCGCAGTGAAAACGTCTGAAGAAGTAGCACAGTGCAGCAAATCCCAATCGACACTTGGGGTATTGAAGTCTTCCAATAGTACACAGTCTTTTCCCTCACCATGCATTTTAGTTGAAGCCAGCAGCCGAGCTCCGGAACCCAATGGAGCTCTGTAGACAACCAGGACCATCAGGGATCTGCATCTATCATGAACCCGGTACCACAGGGCTTCGAAACCACCAGTACCATCACAAGTAGCGTCAACTAGGTGAGCCTTGAGGTCTGCATTCTGGTACAGGATAACACCGCCACCAGATCTCCCTCCTTTGCGGTCATCCCGGCAGAGGTGATACCCGGGGATCTGTACCGCGGAGTCCAGGATATCCGCGGACAGCCAGGACTAGGTGAAAGCTATTATGTGGAGATGATGCTCTGAGGCAAAAGATTGAATTGCATCGAGTTTGTTTCGAATACTGCTCACATTAGAGGAAATTACGCGCAATCCGTTCCTCGCCTCTAGCGCCTGGGTATAACAAGAAGTGGTTTCCAGCGAATTTTGGTAGCTTTTCGGACTACGCGAAAATCCACAGTATGTAAATCTGCCTCACCGTTGTCTCGACGAGAGCTGAGTTCAGCTACCGCTTGTTTCACTTGATCCTCAGGAGAAAGATCTTGCAATACATAAAATGATTCACCTTTAAGTCGGGGAGCTCGTCGAAGAATGCGACGGGCCTCATCATCATTTTGACATACAATGGACGAACCACTGAGGAGTCCTCCTGTTTCTTGCCGAGGCGGAAAGCAGAAACAATGTTGATTCCTTGTTCTTCTTCATCGAACAGTAAAGAGATCATCCGTCGTAGGAACTCCTGATCATCTGCAATCCTTTCAGCTGGGGTAGCCTTGGTGGACTTCGCTGCATTCACGATGATAAGGCAACGGTCGCGCGATGGCGATGTGGCATTCTCATGGATCTTCGGCTTCAGAACAGTGGGGCCGTCCTTAAACAGTTTCTCCAGTTGACTGACTCAGCAGGAGGTGAGCGGACTGAGCGCAGGCAGTCCATCAAGGCATCGTCTGTTGCTTATCGTAACACGGCACAGATCGCAAAAGAAACCTAAGCCCAGAACGTTGCATCGCAGGAGAAATTCGTACAAATCATGGCAGACTCCACAATAAGCTATGTGTCCACCCATCGCAGATGGTGCACTGCAAGGCTTTAGAGCGCGAAGTAACTCCTTTAAAACATGACAAGCATTTGGACGTCAAAGCAGATGAAGTCCAAATAGTAAACAGATGAGTCAACAAAAAGAGCTTCATTCTTCTTCTTTGGACCAAAACACTTCGATAAACCAGAACGATCAGTTCAGTTCAGTTCAGATGGGACTGGAACGATAGGAGAATCCCGTGCGTGTTCCATCTTGAGCGGATCGTTGAGCCGGGTATTGATGAAGTGCTCAGTTATCGATGGATCTAAAACAGAACACCCGCATCGCACCCTGGCCAACCAGTTAATGCCCACGTTTCCTGCCCTAGCAGTCCTTGCTGTGGCAGTCAAGTGCAGTAAGCAAAGGATAGGAAGAGAAATCGAAGGTACAGAATAAGGAAGTGCACTTAAATAAGAAAATAAAACCAATGCGTGAAGAAAAGTAGAGAAAAGAAAATCGAAGTACGAAGATGCGAGTCACTCAGGAAAATGAAAAGGTTTTATGTTACCACCCAAGAGCGTCAAGTTGCTGCTCAAGCCCCTTAATCGTAGATCCCCTGATAACACTTTCCGGAAGCATGTTCCAGCGGTCGATAACTCGGCGTGACAGCCGGATTTCCACCCTAATCCGATCAGGCCGCGGTTTGTCCAGCTTCAAGGAATGACCGCGTAGAACAGACAATCTAGAGGGACTAAATAGCCCAGATAAATCTGGACCAACCTTCCCAGTTAAGATACGGTAGGTTAGGATTAGGTCTCCTCCAAGCCTTCGGTAGCGCATTGAATGCATTCCCAAACTATGTAGACCCTCGGGGTACGCCCGTCCCCGTAATCCGTCGACTAACCTAGTACCCACCCGTAAAACCCTCTCTAGCTCCATTTTGTCCCGGACGAGGCAGGGCGGACAAGCCTGGACGCAGTATTCCAGATGAGGCCGAACGAAAGCCGAGAACAGCCTCGTAAAGATGCCGCCCGTCAAGACTCCGAAAGAACGTCGAATTGACCACAACCTGCGGAAACCTCTGCTTGCGACCTTCTTCCATTTGTCGCCGGAGTGTAAAGCCGAATAGTGTACGACGCCTAGGTCAATCTGGTTAGATACCCTGGGGAGTTCGACCCCACCGACCACGTACTTCGTAGGAGGACAACCTCCTCCAATTCGAAGAACGGAGCACTTTGTCTGATCCACGGGCAGTAACCATAAAGTAGACCAATCGCAAAGCTTATCCAATGCTCGCTGAATAGCTTCGGAACCCCCAGGAACATCGACAATGTTCCACATCTTCAGGTCATCGGCAAATAGCAGCGATGGTACCTCAAGCTCCGCGGGTAGGTCATTCACATAGATAGAGAACAGAGGCGGTCCAAGGACCTAGCCCTGCGGCACGCCACTGAGGACAGACTGCCTAAACGATAGGCCCCGGCCTACCCGTACACACTGTTCTTTACCCTGCAAGAAGGCAGTCACCCTATGAAGGGCGCGGCCAGATACCCCGTAGGAGGACAGCTTTTGCGCGAGCCTCAAATGTGGTACCTTGTCAAATGCCTTCGAAAAGTCAACGAAAAACACGTCCAGCGCGTGGCCGTTATCCACTGCATCCGCCCAACTTTCGCGATCCATTAGTAGATTCGTCAGACACGAAAATCCCTTCCGGAATCCGTGTTGCACATTGCTAAGTAGATTAAATCTACTCAGGTGACTCTCCAATGAATCTCTCATCAGTTTCACGAGGAGTATGACTACTACGCTCGTGAGGCTAACTGGCTTGTAATTTGCAAGCAGACCCCTGTCCCCATTTTTGAAGATGGGACAGATGACAGCTTCCTTCCATTCGGAAGGCAATGCACAGCTGTCAAGCGATTTCTGAAACACATTAGCGAGCGGTCCACTTAGTTCCGCAGCCAACTCATGTAACAGTTTCGGGTGAATTAAATCAGGCCCAGAGGCCTTAGAAGGGTTCAGCCCTTCTAACAGCCTACGAAGTTCCGTCTACGCTACAATAAATTCAGATAGTTCTGAACCCTCCGGGGTCCTGCAAACCAGCTCCACGCCTGTCAAAGAGGTTTCCCTTACAACAGGACGTCGTATACCACACATAGAATACATAGCGGATAGTGCTAAATGCTTTGAAATAGCTTGCGCAGTTACCGGACGAAATCTTCAATTCAGTCGGCACGATGGGTCCTACTTTGCTAATCACAGTCGACGTGATCCAATTTCCGCACCCTGCGGGCCGTTCGTATCACGTTCTTAAATCTGCCGACTTAATAGCCTGTCAATATGGCTGATACCGCACCAAACGTGAGTTCCAGCTGTTGAAATGGTTCAGATCTCTGTGTTTTAGGACGATATACTTGACTTCGAGAGTAAGAAAAAAAAGAAGAACAAGGCGATCGTTGATTCAAAAGTCTCTACGGACGCCGTTGATGTACAGGATTCCCTAGATTTCGGTGCGAAAAAGAAAAAGTCCAAACCTTTAGCTCTTTCAAGCCCGCCTGCCGACGCCACAGAAGGCAAAGATGATGTAAGTCGATCTATTATCGCTCAACTTCGCAGCAGTTATTGGATGAACTGAGGACTAAAAAGAAAAAGAAAGTGGTCATCACAGAGGATCAGGTCAACGAGTTGGCCGACAAGTTGGACGACGAATTATCGTTCAGCTCCAAGAAGAAGAAAAAGAAGCCGAAGTCTGTTGGTATTGATGCAGAAGTTAACGATACCGAAACTGACGCTGTTGCTAAGGATAATGTCGACTCCTCCGGCTTCACTTATGATATGGTATGTTTTTTAGTTCTATCGATCATGGTACGTCACCTCATAAATCGAGTCTTGTCCTGCAGCCTTTCTGTTTCACCTTTATCGTGGCATTCCATCTCCTTTTTCTCCCCTACGTTTTCCTTCTTGGCTCGCATGAAGTTCGTGGGACCTGAACAATAGGATAATCCCATGATTGTTCCACCTTGTAAAGCGTCCTTGAAATTTGTGGAACGATCAGCAAGGAGGAGCCAAATCAACACACACGGTACACTTTAGGTCGACCAAACAATGCCCACGTACTTTGCACTAACAGTCCCCGCTATGCTGGCCACGTGAAGTGAAGTAAAAGCGAAAGAATAACAATGAGTATAACCATTTGGCATGTAAATGAGAGATTAAAAAGGTGTAGGCATCAAGAGATAAGAGCAAAGCTAAGATGAGAAGGGGAAGATTTTAAACTGTAGACCAAGGGCGTCAAGTCGATGCTCGAACACTTACACCGTTGGCGCCATCACTACTTCATCGGACAGCGCCTTCCACGAGTCTATAACCCTACGTGATAACCAGCCAGCTGTTTGTGACGGTATGTTGTCTACACAAGGTGTAGGCGCCTTGACCCTGAATGTCTGCTTGGGGCATTAAGGTTTTCAGGTAAGTCCCCCTTCTCTCCCTCTTTTTACTCCTTATTTCATAGGTCCTCATGGTTGTATGGCAGCGAAGCATCAGTTCAAATGGCTGATGCACTGCTGTCGATGATGATGTTGATGATGTGATAACCGGGAATCAGTCCCAACCCGGTCCGAAAGGGGGGTTGTGCAACTTCAGTGGATGGCCACGGAATGTTGGCACCCGAGTGGGTTGGAACAGTCCAGGTAGATCAGGGCCGACCTGACCTATTATTATGCGATAGGTGAGGACCAGGTCACCGCGAAATCCCCTGTAGTACATCGAAAACATGTCTAGCGATTAACCTCTCAGGGTACGACAGCTTCTTTAATTGAAACACCATTTTCCTCCCCGACCGTAAAACTCGTTCAACTGCCATTTCGTCCCTGACTAGGCAAGGTGTACAAGTCTGTACGCAGTATTCCGATTGACGCCTAACAAAGGCTGCAACTAATCTTGCGAACATTTCGGTTTTCATGATCCCGAATGATCTGCGGATCATTCACAACATGCCAAAACCTTTGCGAGCAGCTGCCATCCAATGTTCACCGGACTTAACATCAGACGACGGATACATCAACAGAATAAAGCGAAAACTTAAATCGTTGACCTGCCTGGATCATGACATCTAGTTGCTTGGATTGCGGTGAAGGCGTTACCTCCAGATCATAGGCAGTACAATGCTCTCTTTGCGACTGGTGGAGACACATCGTGTGCTGTGACCCGTGTCGAAGTGTGCGGAATGATGGGCCTATTTTGAACAGCTTGCCTGTGCTCAGCCCGCGGTCCAGTCCCAGTCATAAAGACGAACGCGTCGCAGTGACTGCCACTCCTGGTAATCGAAGTCCTTTTCCCTCATCCTCGTTGTCCGAGTCTGACTTCTGCGGATAGTAGCAATGTGCTGTAGACTCAAACTTATGCGGCAGTAGTGAGTGCGAGTGTAGTGCCAACACTAGTTGGCAGGTCGGCGACTTTACGAGTGGGAAAAAATAAGTTCGTTTCTAAATCGGAAACCAAGTCGTCCTCTTCAGATCTAAAGCTGGTCCTGGATAAAGTCAGCTGGAAAATGCGCTTAAAGACCATTTGCCCTATCAGTATCTCCAGCTTTCTGTGGGCATTAAACCTCATCCCCGTGATCGTTGCTTGATTATTATGAGTGCTTCTGAGCCCAACGAGGACTTTCCCGCTGAAAGGATGCTGCATGACCAAGATCCTTCGGTGTATGGTCTCTTTTTGAAGAAAATGAACCGGGAATAAATGCGTCTCTGCTTTTCGTCTCGGTAGGAAGCCAGATAACTTTTCTAAAGCTCGTCCCCTCAAGCTTGTCTACCAAAACGAAGCTCAGTGTCGCCGTGTTCTGTGACGGACCCGACCTCTTAAGGGTGAAAAGTTTTATGTGCTACGAGACCTTTCCCCTGAGGACCGGATCCGAATTAAAGCTGCTGTCGATGAGCTACGGACACGACGAGCTACTGGTGAAAGTAACCACGTTCTGGATTTTCGGGTGGTTCCAAAGACACCGAGAGTTCGCTGGAGGCCAGTCTTTATCGTTCCCGGGCGATTAGTTTGAGCAATGTATTAAGAGTGATATATGCTAATGTATTTAGCCTACGTAACAAACTTGATGAGATTCAGCTCCTTGCTTCTGACAGTTGCCCGGACCTAATAGCTTTCACGGAGGCTTCGTTATCATCGGACATCCTTGACTCAGTTGTATATTCCCGGGTGTCACCTTTCTCGGGCCGATCGTTTCGGAGCGAGGGCTGGCGGTGGTGTGATACTCTACTGGAAAGATCCCAGAGACACTTGGAAGCGATCTGTGACCACGATAGTGAATCTGAAATTCTTTGGTGCCGGATCCATGATGAATGCAAGTCTCTTTTGGTTTATGTTATCTACAGAGCCCCTTCGGGTTCCGGAGCCAGCCTGCTGAATTCTGGTAAGAAGCATGGGGGTGGCAGGGATTGTCTGATACTGGGAGACTTTAACGCCGCTGTTATCGATTGGGACTTACTCCATTGCGAACTTTCTCCGCTGTCTTTTATCGCTGTTTTCTTTGAAACTACTTGCATGTCATCTATTTCAGCATGTTGCAGAGCCCACCAGTCAGTTGCCACACATCATTGACCTTGTGCTCACACCGGCATAGTCTGATGTTTCTCCAGCCGCTGGGTACGAGCCATCACTGTGTAGTTTCCTTTTGCTGGATGCAACGTCTTGCCTTCCATGACTCAAGGGTGTACCGTTTTAATTTCTGGCGAGTCGATGCGAATGGCATAAGAACTACTGCTGGCACTGTGGACTGGAGTATATCTCAGCATTTAGACCCTGATAATGCCTGGAGTGTTTTGTACTCTAAGTTCAGGTCACTCATTAAGCAAGCTGTCCCACTCACCAGAAGTAAACGTTCCTCTAAAGGCCCGCCTTGGATTGATCGTGAATTAAGGTCTCTTATGAATCAACGACGCAAATTGTGTGGCAAGTTCAAAGCTACGCAACCAACGTTAGATTACTCCAATTATAAAGCGTTCAGGAATCTCTGCACTTTAAGGAAGCGCGAGAAAAGACCATCACCAACAGCAGTACATCAGCCATTTGAACTGATGCTTCGCTGCCATACAACCATGAGGACCTATGAAATAAAGAATAAGAGGGAGAGAGGGGGGACTTACCTGAAAACCTTAATGCCCTAAGCAAACATTCAGGGTCAAGGCACCTACACCTTGTGTAGACAACATTCCGTCACAAACAGCTGACTATCGTGTAAAGATAAGGCGGCATCGGCGAGACAGCCTCCTTGCGGTTTTCACTGCCACGCGTCATAATCAGCCAGTACCCCGCAGATAACTCAGCACCAAACACACTTTAAACAGACAATCCGATTAGGAGACGGCAGCAGACGCGCCACTGGTGTCGGTTGCGAGCCATGTCGAACTAAGCACAAGGTGAGTCACGTGGACTCCAACCCGGAAGGCGAGACGGACAAACGGCACCCAGTTTGGTCGTCAGTGACTTCATTTCCCGCTGTCAAGTCAACTTCTGTCCACCTCGAGCCTTGCGCCATCCTACACCTGGTAGACTGAACAAGGCCCTCCTAGGTAAGCGGTGATCAGGCATGCGTAGCACGTGTCCGAGCCAACGCAACTTATTCAGTGCTATCTGTTGTTCTAGGGAGCTAGCATGATTATCACCACCTAGTACTCGCCTACGCACATCATCGTTGCGGACACGTTGGTGCCATCCGACACCAGCAATGCTTCGCAAACAACGATGATCAAAGACTTGAAGGCGCCTCAGATCTTCAGACCGAAGGGGCCAAGTCTCACTACCATACAGCAGAACGGCCCTCACTGTGGCCTTGTATACACGGCCTTTCAGACGGAGGGAAACTCCCTTCTGTCGCCAAAGATGACGCAGGTTCAAGAAGGCAGCTCTGGCCTTTGCAATGCGTGAGCTCACGTCAGTTTCTATGCGCCCATCATTGCTGATGCAGCTGCCAAGATAAGTGAATTGATCAACCACCTCGAGTTCCTCGTTAGCAAGCGTCAAGGGCTCATCAAGTGGCTGGTGGTCCTGCAGCAACACTTTGCACTTTGAAGGTGCGAAGTGCATACCAAGTAATGGGACCACTCTGGATAGGCTATTCAGGGTTGGTTGTGCCGTCTCAACATTGTCGAAAAGCAAGACGATATCGTCCGCATAATCTAGATCAACTAACCTTTCACCAGGCAGCACTTCAACGCCTACATCGTGAGATTCCGCAAGGGAACACTCCATGATAGAATCCACGACGAAATTGAACAAAAACGGGGAAATCGGACAACCCTGACGACCGCCACTTGTAGTTGGGAAGCTATCCGATAGGACACCATAGACCCTGACGCGGCCTGTAGTGTTCGAGTATAGAGCACGATGGATGTTCACATATTTCGTGGGAACACCTTTTCGCGCCAGTATTTCGAACAGAATCGATCGATCGACTGAATCGAACGCACTCTTGAAATCGAGGAACACAGCTATTGTCGGTCTGCGGTATGCGTGGCGCTGCTCTAGCACCTGCCGCAAAGTAAATATGTGGTCTATACAGCCACGTCCTGGGCGGAAACCGGCCTGCTCTTCCCTAATCCGAGATTCCCGTTCTGCAGTGAGGCGACGAGCGACAATCGAGGCCAGTAATTTTGTCACAACTGGCGTTAGGCTAATACCCCTGTGGTTCGCACAGTCTGTGCGACTGCCCTTTTTGTATATTGCCACTATAATCGATTCGCTCCAATTAGCCGGCACACTTTCTTCGTTCCAGATACGTTCGAATAGGGAGGTCAGTGCCCTGCAGAGGACCTCACCTCCATCCTTTA